AGGTAATTAATATGATCTGATTTTAATTCAAACTGAGTGGGTCTGTGCATTGTTCTGGAGCATCAATGTACCAAGTTTCATTGAAATGGAATAATTAGTACATGTGATATCAGTGTAAAAGCCGAAAATTGGTTAATTAAGCAAATTAGGTAATTAACTTGTACTGATTTTAACCCAAAACTAATCAGGTCTGTGCATTGTCCTAGAACATGTATGTACCAAAATTCATTGAAATGGGATAAGTAGTACTTGCGACATCAGTGTAAAAGCCAAAAATTAACTAATTATGCAAATTAGTTAATTAATATGCACACATTTTTACTTAAAATTAATCAGGTCTTTGGATTGTTCTCGAGCATCTATGTACCAAGTTTCATTAAAAAGTAATGAAGTAATAGTACTTGAAATATCAAAAGCTGAAAATTGATTAATTATGCAAATTAGGTAATTAATATTTCACATATCTGTCTGTTCATTGTCCTATGTATCTATATAAGTTTCATTGAAATGTGATGATTAGTACCTGAGATATCAGTGGAAAAGCCGAAAATTGACTAATCATTGTGCAAATTAGGTTAATTATATGCATGGATTTTTACCCAAAACTAATCACATCTGTATATTAGTCCAGAGCATCTATGTACCAAGTTTCATCAAAATTTAATGAATGGCTCTTCAGATATCAGTGGAACAGTCAAGGAACAGCTAAATATTAGCTAATTATCATGCAAATCAGGTAATTAATATGCATGGTTTTCAACCAAAACCTCATCAAATCGGTGCATTAGCCCAGAGCATCAACACACCAAGTTTCATTAAAAACCAACATACGGTTCTTGAGATATCCGTGGAACGGACGGACAGACACACACACACACACACACACACACATATACAGACAGGGTAACTGCAAAGACTCCATTTGTGTGCTTCGTACATGGGAGTCAAAAACACTTCCCCTTTAATATTTTGCCACTATTGACTTTGGGCAAGCTCAAAATATGATTTACAATTGTCACATGTAGTAAAAAATTGAAAGAACTCAATATCAGACTTTTGATATTCTCCGCAATCTGATACTTTCTCAGCATTGGCTTATGTACTAACAATCTGAAATTTGCCAAAGTGTATTAAATTTTAAGAATAATTTAACAAATGCTCATATTGCAAGACTTGTGTGAATTTTAAATACCGGTAGAATTTGCAGTTACATGTTGATACACTACACTGGCAGACAAAACAAACCACTATGACCTGTAATTGTTAAGAGTCAACAACATATGGTACTTGATTAGTAGCGAGACTATCATTTGCATACTTGTTTTCATCTTCTAATTGTGACTAAATGACTACAAAAAGATCCAGAGTTAGCGGGACCAGCGCAATATAAACGTGACCTTGATAATGGGATTCTGTTTTTCCGGAGTGTTCAAATTATAGAAGCTGACATTTTTGGAC